CACTCCATATGACCTATAAAAGGCGAAATATTAAATATATACTTTAATATTATATTTCGGAAATATGTGGCATGTGGTTAAAAATGTAAAATCATCGAACCTTGTATTTCTACGGATTTAATCTTTAAAAAAGACACAGAAATTTATATATAATTTTGAATTATAGTGACATTTTTGATAAAAAATTAAAATCGGATATTAACTTACAATACCATGTCCATTTTTCCTTCAAGATGTTCAACTTCATCAAAATTTTCAACATTAGCTACTGTAAATTCTACATTGGAATTCTCAAAGCCCCATTTTTCACGATGATATTCTAATGTTTTGTTGGCTTCATTTATCTATAATGCAGAATACAGATAATGCGTATAATCGTGCTTTGTACATTTATATCAATTGAAGGCATTACTCCACAGGACTTACAGCGGGACATTGCTGACGATGAATATTTAAAGCTCCATCAGCTTTCCTATTCCAGGACATGCATTTTATTATGCGTTGGTCTTTAAAGTAGGCACTTTAATGGTAAAAAAAAATGTGAAACTGACAAAAACAAGGATCTTAAAGACCAACTTAGCAAGACGGACAACATCAGTTTTGTAACCTCAGCGGGACATAGCTGACGATGAATATTCAAAGCCCCGTCAGCTGGCGAGGCAAAATTTTGACGACTATTTGCTTATTACTCAACATACATCTTGCTACGTAGTGATTTTAAAAGTGGGTATTTTAAATGGTCAAATATGAGATACTGACAAAACAGGGAACTATTGGAAAGGTTCTAAAAGACTAACAGAGCAAGACAGAGGACGCTTTGATTCTGTCTTTTTTAGAATTGGCTCTGAGTTTTCATAATGTCATGAAATCAGTAGTAATAATCAATAGCACTTTGGGCTAACAATTGGAAACAATGAATCAGTACTCACTAGATTTGGTGAGATATCAACAGCAGTTATGTGTCCTTTTGGTCCAACCAGCTTACTGAGTACATAGGCCATACCACCAGCACCGCACCCGAAATCTAAAATCTTACAGCCCTCTATTTTATCAGGTACAATAAAAGCTGAACCATAATTTCTTTTTAATATTTCGGGGTGAAGTTGACGGATTAAATCACGAACTGACTCAGATAATCTCGGATTATTGATTTCGCAAAAATAATCAAATGTCTCAGAAACTTCGTCATAAAACTCTTTGACCTTGTTCGAGATTTCGTCGCTGTCGCCCATTTCTGAATTTAAGGAATATCCGTGTAACACGTGTGCGGATCAAGGAGTCCAAATCTTAAATGATGTTACCTCAAAGAATTTCCCCAAACTACTCAGTCTGGACACAAAATAATGATCTAAAATGTAGAAATAACATACTTAGAGTATGCTAAGACGTTAAGACGAGCGTATCACCAGCGAATTTTTACGGCCGACCGCGAAGTTTAGGCGTACGGTCCGATCAAAATGTGATTGCAAGGTTCAGATTGTGCCGCCTGTTTAGATCAATTATCACAATTCAATAATTTTAAATCAGTTGATAATTAATACTAAACGTGGATTCACCGAAATGTCTAAGAAAGAAAGATTGTGAAACATGCCAATAAAACACCGTTAATATTAGCGTTATATTGCGCTTTATCACACAACAGTTCTGTTCTCGAGTTTATAATAAAGGTTCATAACAACGATATGAACTCGTAGCACAGGTTAATACTATGTAAATTAGATCATGTATTCATGCACCATGTAAACAGAATAATATGGCATTATTTGAAGTTGACGACTCAGTTAAAATTGACGATAAGGGGTATCAAATTGTTTCAAATAACATAATTAAAAGTTTCAATTTAGTTATCACATGAAAGTGTTTATCCAGATCTTATTTGTTATTTGCAAGGGCATTTTGCAGAAATGTGCAAAAAGTGGACCAAAAAATAAAAGCCATATATAGAAAAAGTGCAGGGGAAATATGCGTTATTGATAGTTGTGTGATAAATAGAATCGTTCACTAGTGCTTCTGTAAAATGAAATTTAACAAATTCATTCACGGATTAAATATTTACCTCGCCAAATACTAAATCTGACAACTCATTTCATAAATTTCATAGTTCATAAGTACTCGTTTAGATCATTTGTGTTTAATATATCACGACAAAGTCGTATTTCATTCTGAGAAGTGATAAGGGTAGCGTGGAGTGTAGGAACTGGTAAAGCCAAAATACCCAATACCCCTTATTCCATATGAACTGAATTCATTGGAACATAGTACTTAACGAAATAATCTACTTCAAAGATAACACTTCAAATTCACTCACCTATTTAAAACGTGAATTGAATAGTCCTCTTTAGTATAGATTAATTGCTATTTTAATACTTACAGATTCTTTCCCCGTTCCACTAAGATACTGAAAATAACCGATCAAACTGTAGATGCAATAATGCACATGTGTATAATGTATTCGTCCTTTGAACGAATTCCAAAAGAAAACTATGATCAAGATAATACCGTTCCACATGGAGTGTTATATTCAAGATTATATTTTTTTTTTTTTTTTTTTCTTTTTCATGTATCATAGGAGTCTTTCAATGTAGCCGTTTGGTTGGATTGTACGCGAAGGAATACAGCCAATCAGAGACTTCAACAGAAAGTCTGTAAACAATGAAACAAAATGTTTACAGTCTTTATTTGAAGGGCACTGATTGACTGTATTCTCTAGCATATAACCCAATCAAATCTCTGTATTCCATGACAAAAAGGTAACTATTGCAGAAAAGATATAAGACGAAGTTCGTCATCGATTGACATTTTGAAGATGACAAAACCTATCCATGGGATAACGTTGTGCATGATTGTAACGTTGAAGAAAAACTTTCAATGCATGCATTTACACGATAGAGATATGTAATAATTTCGGATATTGTGGGATAGGTTTTGAATAAGAGCCTTCAAGGAGACATTTTACATGTTTTCATATCGAAAATACTTTGATGCGACAGATGCATATAAGCAGAAATATACAGCAATAATTCTGGAAGCCTTTCCATGTCGATCTTTGGATCAGAGAATATCATCTGTACACGAGACAAGCTATGCAAACCACAGTTGATCGTGTTTAAAATTCCGTTCATGTCTTTTCAACGGTTTTGTATAAATATGATATCCCGACGGTACCTTGAGTTACTAAATGTCCTTACCTTAAAAATTGAATTTTTCTGCGATCATAAATGTTAAGTTATATCTACATGTTTATTATCGTTTACATTGTATCTAGACATGCATATATCATATATACCGATCGATAAAACATTTCAAGCAATCGATTTTCATTTAACGTAAGATTCAACCACTGATGCTATTGCCGACAATCCAAATTACTACCAATTGCCCTATTCCTCTGTCATCAAATATCTCACTGAAATGGATTCCCGGGACTATATTTTTATACGTACCTTATTGATACACCTAACGTATTGAATTTTTCATGTTTTGCATACTAATTTAGTATGTCAGCACAGCTCTCAAGGCGTCAAGCGATCAAGCCCACGTATCATCGTTTCGCATGGTACATTATATGTCATATTTACATTAAATTATATAGTAACAACAGCATGTGTTAGGTTCTGTTTTAATATTTCTATAGCTATGTAACTGTAGACAGTTAAACTTGTATTGACTAAGCGAGTGAATGCTTGAAACAGGTCGCTTAGTGAATATGGTTGCTAAGTGAAGTCCTGTCTGTACGTTGATGTTTCAAGGCTTATATCTACTTTATTCATGTCAAATACACCCCTCTCCATTACAAAATGTATATTATATTGTTTAGTACGACATAAAATTTTCCACTGTATTGCGTCCAGTATTAAATTAACATAGTTGACAATTTGTAACAGAATTATCTACCATTCAAACATTTAATATATGTTGTTGTGCAATACTCGTGAAATACTGTTTTCTAAAAGCATAACGAATGAAGTTTTCGTAAAACGTAAAAGGCGTAAAAGCGACACATTTATCCAGTTTATGGTATACGGTTTGCATAAATTTGAGCAACAAATATTTTCGACTTTCAAAAAAAAAGACCAGAATGCCCCTTTTAAAGTCACAGATCGATCACCACTACATAGCTTTGGGTTTCTCCAATCGTTTTACTGCTTACTGAGTAGAAATCAAGGAACAATATCAAGAAACAATATGAAACCTCTTTGGTAGAAATCCATGGAATACTACGTGTAACCACTGATGGATGAGCACATGACCCTTCCGAATCTGGGGACAGATAATGGTACTCCATGTCATAGGGTATTTGAGAGATTCCCAATACAAAATTTAAACTGTAATGTGGTATAACAATATGCCAAATTTTCTTAATCTTTAATCGTGTCTTAATCTTTTACCCGGCACGTTTACTATTAAGCATTTATGGAGCCTAGGGCCTGGACTATATTTATTTTCTTTGTTCCTTGTACGATATTTACCTTATAAAAAGACAACACGATAGAAATATATAATAATTTCGGATTTTGTGGGGTAGATAAATTCAATAGGTTGTGAATAAGAGCCTTCGAGGAGACATTTAACATGTTTTCATATCGAAAATACTTTTATGCGATATATGCATATGAGCAGAAATGTACAGCAATGATTCTGGAAACTTTTCCATGTCGATCTTTGGATCTGAGAGTATCATCTTTACACCCAATAAGCGGGTTGCACTAAATGACCATTTTCCCGCAATTCGTTGATATGTACAAATGGGTTCAAAGTCTGAAAAACAAAAGGAGAAGACAAAAGTTGTCGACGCAAGAGGCAGCATAAAACAACGCAAATAGTTGTTCAAACCACGGAACTTGTTTTACGAGGTTTCATATGTTCTCCTCAATATGCAACTGGATAGGAAGGTTACAATTGCAATTCAATTCACTATAACAAATTTTACCAATAAGATCTACATGATGTAGCACTAATCCTTTACGTCATTTTTTTTTGCGTGTGAACATGGAATGAAACTATCGCTCAAATAAAACCCCGAGACATACCTGTAATCCTTCGTTTAAATATCTAAACGAAAAACTGTCTTTAAATCTGGTATACGCTAGGATTGTTGCCAATTCTGCATCCACTAAGACTGGCTCACCCTTCTAAAATGGAAATATTCAGTTTGTAAGTATTGTAAATTCCATTCCATGTCAGATTGGAAACTCAACAAGACAATGGTTCGAAAATCGTGAACTTGCACTCCATTATCTAAATCTGCTAAAATCAGTATAAGTATAAGCACAAATACGAGGAGTATGTTATACTTTTCTATTTGGGTAATTCAAGTGGTAATGAGCATGTTATAGGTGTGACGTGGACAATTATCATTTATTGTACAAAGAAATATGGAAAAACCAGTTGCTCTATGATCAACATGCGGTAACTATACCACACACAAGCTCATATCACCTTTCTTTGATGCAAGTAGCATTATGAATTTGAGTAAAAACTAAGCTGAGAATGATCAATGCTTGTGACTCTGGGCCAAGTCATGGTAAGACAACTGTGCCGATATCTTTGTAATCTGAAAAGCTGTTGTACCTTAAACAATGTATTCAAATCCCATCTGTAGCTCTCTTCACTTCCTTTTATATTCCCATTGTACATCACTTCCGCTGGACGATGCTTTATATTTTTAGGGAGTTTGAACATTCTCCATTCTGCTCGCACAAATTCGGCGAAACCTAGAAGTACACATTATGTCCTAAAAGCAATTGACCTAAGCAAATACATGCTCAACAATCACCAAGGACCTGACATATCTCTTGTTCAAGATTGTTAAATTGTTAAATTCTCTAAGCTCGAAACAATTCCTTCATCTTTATTTTCAGCTTAAAAGAATATGTGGCCTTCTCTTTATGTGGTATTTTGGATAGTATAGCTCGCTGCATTCGCAATAAGATATAGCAATCGACAATCACTCAGAAAAAAAATCTAAAACTTTACTACTATTGCAAACTTTGTCTTATTCCTTGATTTCATTAGGCAAATGCCTTGCATCACGTATGTTTGTAATTTGATTGGATTTTACGCTAACGTATACAGCATCAGAACCCTAGAAAGAAAGACTGTATTCAATATGGCTGCGCGTGTAATACAAGTTAATACCTGTTTTTTTATGAAGATCTTTATTTTGAAATTCTACGGGAGCAGCACCAACTAAATAAGGTTTAGTAAAACCAACTGATGTAGCTAACTCGATCATTTCATCCCACTTCATAGAACAAGCTGTTCCTAAAGCTAAAAATGGATAATAGTATCGGTTAATTTCATAAAATTTGGCTATTTATGTATCAGTTTTAGTAATAATGATAAGAAAAGCTTTGATAATAATGAAAATATAGCGAAAAATATAGCGGAAAAATAATTAATAGCTAGGTTTTATCTTTGTAAGGAAGGTTAACATAAAGAACACAAGATATATGGATATACTTCTTATTCTATACTAAGTTTCGAAACACATACAGGTAAAGTTATCAAATGATTCATAAATTTCAATTTCAAATCCATTTTGTTAAATTTGGGGCTCGTGACGCTTGCTTTGAGTCAACACTACGTTCTCTTGGGATGTGTTACCTAAAATGGTTGCTAGTCACCATTCCACTTCCAACATTCTCTGTCGGTCCCGTTGTTTCTAGATATAAGGTATATTTAGTTAAGGTTCGTTCATTTTAAGTATAATGTTCATTCAGAAAATCCCATCAAAATGCATAGTTGCTGTTTACATGTAGTTTAAAAAATAATGAATTGAGTAATAAGAAAATATAGAAAAGAAAAAAATCTCGGACGGATCTCCATAAACAATTCAAATGAAAAATCTACACCAAAAATAAGTATCATGAAAATGAGTTGAGAAAATTGAACAGAAATGTGCAAAAACCTGCAGCTACATCAAGGGTTAAATTGCAACTGACTCGTAATGCTTTGGCACATGAAAGACCGCACAGTTACTCACGTACAATGTGACCACTATGCAAATAACAATCCCTTTCCAGATATGAATATTCCAAAAGCAAACGATAAAAACATCAGCTTACAGAATAAACGTTGATTATTGATGATATCTTCAGGTCTATCTCTATCAGCATAAATATCAGATAAAGAGAACTCGCCACCATCCTAATAAATATAAATTTTTGCTTGTAGTCGTACATCAACCTTGGTGTAACTCGTCCATCAGAAGGACCTCTCTGAAATCTTTTACAGGTAACATGTTAAAGATCTACCAAATACAATACTTCAATTTCTTGTAATGCTAGATTATATACTTATTAAATTGTCCTACAAGCCCCCATACAACATCAACGAAGAAGCATGCCCTTTGTGCATTGTTCGATAAAGAATAACGGGAAACGAGAAATTTCACTCTTTTCAGCCTTTGATCATTGGAAAATTCAAGATGCTGTCAATTTAGTCCAGCAACCGACAGCCATGTTAACAAAAGAACATTGATTAATTATGCAAAGTGTCGTCTCTATTATAACATCTGGAATTCTAAAAGATCTTGAAATTGCAGCCAAGTCATCGGCAGTCACGCGGACAACATTCGAACAATTCGAAATTCTATCTTTATTCAATTTCATCATCATTACTTACATATTTTTTACCTCGTATTAACTATTACCTTCAAGAGTCTGTAAATATTAGTGAAAACCTTTTCTTTATTAGGACACAAACAAATCACACCATACGACCTACGAATAAAAATACTTTTGTATGTCGGGTATAACAAGGATACCTGGACAGCCAGAAGCAAACGGTTTATAGTCCTATCCGAGCGATTTCAATACCTTTCTATGTCAGACTCACATGGTCGAACCTACATGGTTGGTTTATGGACATACTAGTATCTAATATGGTAGGGATATTCTAACAAAAACAATTTTTTGTAATTGGCATATAATATTACGGCTATGCATTGGTGATATATAAATTTCCACGCTTCGTTTAACCTTGCTTCGCTGAATAATTACATTTATAGGTTTCATTGTAAACAAAATAACATAAATTCGTCTTACTTGCTTAGCTTATGCTATTTACAGAACTATGTTCATCTCACAGTACAATGTATATTATGTTACAGAACTATGTTCATCATGCTACAGACCTATGTTCATTTTACAGAACTATGTTCATGTTACAGAACTATGTTCCCCATTTTACAGCGCTATGTTCCACATTTTACAGAACTATGTTCACCAAGTTACAGAACTATGTTCATTATGCTACAAAACACTGTTCATCATGCTACAGAACTATGTTCATGTTACAGGACTATGTTCCTCATTTTGCAGAACTATTTTCGTCATTTTACAGAACTATGTTCATTATGTTACAGAACTTTGTTCATTGTGTTACATTGTATTTGAAGGAATAACTATGTCCGTGTGTACTTACAGGACTAAGTCCATTGTAGATTCGTATTCTTTAACTTCATCAAAAGTTTCCACATTAGCTACTTTAAAAGTTGTATTAGGTTTGCTGTAGCCCCATCTCTTTTGATGATATGATATCACTTTATTAGCTTCTGTTATCTGGAGAAAGGAGAAATCAAGTATTTAATCCAATATCAAGTAGTGTTATCTTATCTGAAGGACTTTAAGGCTGCAGTGTCGTCATCAAGCTCAAAAATCACGTTACAAAAATATGTTTCCCTTTTTAAACATAGTGGCGTATTCAGGCGTTAAAATTTGGTCCCTGCTCTTAGAATCATTCTCAAAACTTTCATTATTATTTTTTTTTTCAATTATAACTTCATTTTCTGTTTCTACATCCTTGTTCATTTTTGTACTTTCATTTTTTTACGGATGCGATTGCACCTGTAAACGATTGCATTAGTGTACAATCGCACCAGATGCCAGAGTACAAAAATACAAGAGAAGAAAATACTGTTTTTTAATCTTCTTGCCAATAAACCTTAACCAATCACCCGTTTACACCCAATGTTAGTCGAGGACGAGGGCAAGGCATTACATTCTTTATAACAAATCCAAATTGTAAACTTAACTGATAATGCATGGACTAAATTAGCTTTTAATTGTAAAACGCCTTGTTTAAAATTCGAGTTACTTACGAGATTTGGTGATATATCAATTCCCACAAGACTTCCCTTCTGTCCTACCAATTTACTGAGAACATAAACCATAACTCCGGCACCGCATCCAAAATCTAAAATCTTACAGCCTTCTATTTTATCAGGTACAATAAAAGCTGAACCATAATTTCTTTTTAATATATCAGGATGAAGCTGACGGATTAAATCACGAACTGTTTGAGATAATCTCGGATTATTGATTTCACAAACAAAATCCAATTTCTCAGAAACATCATCATAAAAATTTTTAACGGAGTTGAATAAATTTTGTTCCTCACACATATTGTCGACTTTGTGTTCAGCTAGTCACTTATTTGAATAATGAACAGATATGCTACGCTTGATGCTTTACAAAGGTTTCAATTCCTATTTATACATACATAGATACTAATTGGAAATTAAAAGCTGATTACCTTTTTATGGGCGCTTATTGCACTCGAGGTATAAAATGATTTTGATATACGCCGCAGCATTTAGAAATTAGAAGCCTACGTCGAATGATCTTTGAGGCATAAGGCAGTTGACATTGTGATTAATTGTCAAAGGTTTGCTCATTCAAAGACGCACTTGGACGCTCTGACAACAAATAAGTAATCATTATGGTGACGGGTCGTTGGTATTATGGTCAGTTGTCAATGATGCTTTGGACGCGCTCCGACCCAGAAGAGTCGCATTTAAGGTAGCATGTCGTTGGCATATTCTGTTAAAAATTGTCAATGGTTTGGTTGTACCAAGTGGATTTGGAAGCTTTGGAATTCAGAGTCATCTTGGGATGGCAGGTAGTTGACATGTAATGACAGATGGTTCCTTTGAATTCCAGAAAATTCATCCTTGGGTTAGTGTGCGCACTATGACCAGTTTACCAAAAAGATTCTCAGATATAGCAGCTTTGTTATTTGCTTACATTATCAGTATATTGTGATTAAGTGGGACGTTCCCTCGAAATACATGACATGACAGACAGACCATATCAATTATCTTATCTCCTCCAGTTAATGCACCTTATATCTTGATGGTCTTTGGATGATGGAAAATTTTGAGATGACCTTTGAGTAACTACCACAACTAAGGCTTGATTTTTGCAGAACAGTTAAGAACAAGGAGGTATAGTAAACGAATCCACCCCATCCCACTTTTTACCTCTATAACTTACTCACACAGGCCACTGTACACTTGGGTTAATGTGGTAATATATTTGAAGGAAGAGCTTAAACGGAATAGGGCCGCTAAAAACAACTCCTACCCTTACCCCACCCCAGTTTTACCGTACTCACACAGGCCTCATAAGAAATAGCCTATGTTGCCTATGGTACACTAAATTGAACTGAACGCTTGGGTAAATGTTGTTATATATTTTAAGGGAGAGCTTAAATGAAATAAGCCGATAAAAATTTCCCGTAAGTTATAATAAGTAAATAGGCTAATACTTTGACCCCGCAAATTCCACATCAGTGCTCGATTACGCTCTATAAAAATGTGTGTTTAAAAGGAAAGATTAAGAATAAATTATGTAGGCCTATAATGTTAAAATGGTGTAACACACATTAAATTCTCATTGCTTTTTGAGTAATTATCTAAAGGTATCTATAAAAGAATGGGTTGTTAATTTATGTTTAAAAGCATTCATTTATGGGACCTGATAAGAAAAACTACTTATTTCGTATGGAGGTTGGCGGTTTGACGAGAAAGGTGTTAGATAATCTCAAAAGGTGAGGTGGACCATATATCGATATCAGATCACAAAAATGTGACGGTGCCAAGTTATGGCGTCTACAAAGAATATTACAAACATTGCCATTTAGAAAGAAAGAAAAGAAAGAAACAACTATAATTTACAAGGATAACAACTTAGGTTCACAGTTAAGGATCCTTTCTACCAGCTGGTCCTTGGCCAAAGTTCTTGGCATTGATCTTTCCCGGATTATCCGTACCCATTTACAGGTGGGTCGACTGGAATTATGAGTGAAGATGACCGATTCATAGCATCGGACTATCACACGTCGATCGAGAATTGAAACCACAGCCATTAACCCCTTGACATAACCAAGCAAATAACGTCATTTTACGCTCTAACCGACTAACCTCACAAAATGTGTTATTTCATATATACATGTAATAGTGAAACAATGCGTCTTTATTTGATCTTTTAATATGTTTGTCCAATTGGATTGGATGATACTATAAAATATATTAATGTGAACAAAATAGTTTGCTTAATAAAAAATGGTATTAAGTACACTTATACAGGAGTTCATGTCGACTAGTTATTAACAGCACCTCGCCAGGTTTGCCGTGACACTCTAATAAGGATATAGACCGTTCGATAATCGCTGCATTGTGACAGCTCGGGATGTTGACCAGATATATCTTCTATTTGAACGGTCGAACTGACTCAGCCTCCACTTTTTGCGTTTTAGATCGGGTTCGATCAGGTACAGTAAAATTTTCATTGTAAAAGGTAAACGACCCCATAAAATTTAAAACCTCAAACTTAGTCAATGTATATATTAATCAGTTGGACTTACCAGGTTCCACGACTAAAGAATAGATTTTCTATTTAGTTTAGGAGATATATTATTGTCTTTTATAATTATTAAAACACGTTTCTTATTTCAAAATTACTTAGTTTAATGAATTACTACTTAGTTTTATGGTTTTTTTTTCGGATTAAAGAGGGATTCTGTTGTATAGTTACGACACCAGGTAAGTCCACTGATGAACAAACACTCATTTTGGCCAAATTTAAAAGATAGCTTGCCAGGCAAGGTAACATACGCCCACTGGCAGCTGTCAGAAATGATTAAACAGTCTTTAGTGACTACAGGGTTGCACAATATAGCTAATAAAGTGAAATGTCAAGTCAGACACCATATTTCGGTGAAATATTATCCGATCATCGCGAAAATCGATAGGGATCATCTCCATAATGACATTGACATACAAAATAAAAATCAAAAGAATCTGTAAAGAATTGTAGCCTGTAGAGTGAGCACGAGTTGCACAATATAGCTAATAGAGTAAAACGTCAGGTCAGACACGATATTTCGGTGAAAAATTATCCGATCATCATGAAAATCGATAGATCATCATGAAAATCAATAGGGATCATCTTCATAACGACATAGACATACAAAATAAAAATCAAAAGAATCTGTAAAGAATTGTAGCCTGTAGAGTGAGCACGAGTTGCACAATATAGCTAATAGAGTAAAACGTCAAGTCAGACACGATATTTCGGTGAAAAATTATCCGATCATCACGAAAATCAATAGGGATCATCTTCATAATGACATTGACACACAAAATAAAAATCAAAAGAATCTGTAAAAAATTGTAGCCTGTAGAGTGAGCACGAGCCAAATGTGAACAGACGGACGGACGGACGGACGGACGGACCGACGGGGTGATTACAATATACGCCCATCTTACGTCTGGGCGTATAAAAATTCAATTTTTGCTCATCTAAAGAGGTTGTAAATATTGAAAGAAATGCGGAATACATAGAGTGATACAGAAATATTATAGCAAAACCTGAAATATTTTGTTTCACACTGTGGTATATCTACATATCCAATGAACATGTTTCTGTCTGTATACAGTTATCAGAAGACCTCACAGCTTGCAACTACAGTACTGCACACACTGATAACATCGTCAACAACCGGCTCTGAAGATACCATGTTGTCGAAAATGTTGTTAGTGTACACATTACTTAAGAGTAACAACATATTTCAAGATTCATGATTATAATTATACGATATTGAGCAATGTAGAAAACTAAAAGATAAAGACTGTTATGTTAGTTATACTTGGTAGGCGTGGGGAATCTTCTGTCCCTGTTTCTTCAGCTCATTCAAATACTCAAATGGACTTTGAACCTATAAAACAGTATGGTAATTGAAGTTTACGATTGGTTTCATCGCAAATAATTTATTACATGAGTTTTTTGTGTTATAATTTATCATAAGCTCGGAAGAAAATTTGTGCTCATCTTCTGGGTGAATTGCGCTGTTGGTTTGAACTCCATATATTGCTATAGATCGAATGCGAGCTTGGTAAAATTAAGTTTTGAACATCAAGATCGACCTGTCTGAAGGAAGGTAATTCGTGATAAATTTGAAAAATTATTTCCCACCCTGCGCAATTAGCTATTGCATCAAAATAAAGGTAAAAACTTTGTCATGGTACACATATTTGCTGCATTAAGAGTGAAATACATACACTTGGTGTCATGACAGCATCAGACGTGTCTTTAAAGGCAAAACTATCCTTAAATCGTGAGTTTTCGAGAATTGTTGCCAAATCTGAATCCACTGTTATTGGTGTACCTTTCTGAAAATTAAGATTACTTTAGTGAGAAAATGCGTAATTAGAAGACTTCCATTGTTGGTTGTTGGTGAACTTTTTCTATAAATTGCACGGTTATGATTTTTTCCAATTGACTTCCTTGCAAGCGATATCAGCATTCGCTGACTTGTCATCTACCAACCAACAATTTTGTACTTACCATGAAAGAGCAGGCTAATGCCTGTCCTGGCAAAATTTCCCTCATTGCATACTGCATGGCGTTGTCCGTCTTCATGACCACATGAGGCAGAAAAGTAGGACGTAAAACTCCATTTATTGTATTTCAAGAAGTTAATATGACACAAAGCAGCATAACGAAGAATTTAATACCATTTCAATAAGATTTAAGATTTATCTCCCTTTTACCTTGAAGACGGTTGATACGTCCCATCTAAAGACATCATCAGCACCAGTTATATTACCATTATACGTCACTTCCGCTGCAGAACGTTTAGCACCAGCTGGCAATTTGAAGAGTCTCCATTCAGCACACACAACTTCAGCATTACCTACAGAACAATTTCGTAATTAAAAGTTCCATAAAACAGAAACCAGAATTCAAAATCAGCCAAAAGAGAAGTAAGCATTTTATATACCAGAAGTGTGATCAGCATTGAACCTTTGCCATGGTCGCTCTATATCAGTTGACCTACCAGCAGTTTTCCTCTGTTCCTCAGTACTAAAAGAAACTGGTGCAGCATTAACCAAATATGGTTTGGTAAAGCCAACTCGATCACAAATCTTTTCTAAGTCATCGAATCGCATACATCCTGTGGTACCAAGAGCTGGAAAAGGAAACCAAATTTTAAAGATGGGTTCCCTTATTTTCATTTATGAAAATGAAAATGCTGATACTTATATGAATAGAAAGTAGAGGTGTTCTAATAACAACAGTTTGTCTCAAATGCCCATGATTATTTCTTAATTAGCTCAAATTGAAGAGAATTACCAGCCGAATTTCAATGTGTGACCGATCAAGAAAGGTAAAAAATCTTTTTTGTTTATCCAAGCTGTACATGCATGGACATTTATGATTGGTTAAAACTCTTAATTATATGCAAGAAGAACATAATGATATGATTAGGAATACAAGATAATTCATCAGCCAATTAATCAAATAGTTTGCTTAAGTTGACACTAAAAAAGGGAAATCTAATCTTTAATATAAAGGAATGGAAATACACAAACTAACTTTAAGGGGATTAAGTTAGACCTTTTCAACTGTAAGCATCCGGGAGAATCGCTGGATTAGTCAATCTGAAGACCAGATTCTGTAACAATTCTGTTCATCGCAGTTGTTAGTAGGCAGTCAGGTTCTAGATATGAGTTTTGGTCATGTCAACTGCTAAAGATCCGATGGGATAATTTGAATCCAACTGACCTAACCTTTAAATTTCTGTCCGGTGCCAGGTGAGTGGAGAGTTGTGTGAAAAAAGAGTTGTGTAATTAACTTACAGAACAATCTGAGATCTTTAAACCGTTCTTCAGGTCTCTCTCTATCAGCATACACATCACTAAGGGAGAATTCCCCACCGTCCTGTGAAATGATTTTTTATATATTTTTAGAATGGATTGGTAATCAAAGTAAGTGCGGCCTTATGGCTTAATTTGTAGCTCATAGTATTACTAAACCGTGGGTACTGTTTGCGACTCATACACCATGTAGACTGTTTGCGACTCATACACCATGTAGTGATTGCGACTCTTGCGCCTTTTGGACTGATGCGATTCTTGCACCGTATGAACTGTTTGAGACTCATGCACCATGTAGTGATTGCGACTCATGCACCTTTTGGTCTAATGTGCCTCATGCACCATTTGGACTGTTTGTGACTCGTTTACCGTATGGACTGTTGCGACTCATGCACCGTGTGGACTGTTTGCGACTCATGCACCGTATGGACTACTTGCGCCAGAGCTTAACAATGTAATCTGTTACTGCAGAGAACAAATAAGACATATTATCCTACGTACCTTTAATAACTTAAAAGCAGTTTCGAACACCTCTGCTTGGTTTGGACACAAACAAATAGCACCATTAGATCTGAAATATCATTAAAACAAATAACATCAAAACCCGTCATACGTGACACATATACGTGCAATATGTCATTAAGATCATGTCTATAATGAAAATGCAATTATTAGAAATTGAGTGTACGTCAAGGTTGGTTACGGCTGCTGTAACAAACATCGAAGATTCTTATCAGAAAAAGGATACAAGGCCATTTTTTTCGGTGTGTAATTTGACTATTCGGGGCCGTAAATACATCAAGGTAAATGAGATAAAGGCCGAATTTGACAAAATAAAAATTTATAAATATACTATCCGCTAAATATAGCGATTAATTGATGGCTACAGTAAAAGTGGTTACCGTTTGAAGTCAACTGAAGGTGTTGCGATGAAAGACATGATAACAGGATTTTAAAAGTTCGGCTATATCCGAGTTTTAATACTAACTCGGTACAGCATTGTAAATACAATATGTTACTGATGTATACATACTCAAGAACAATGAGATGTCATGTGCCATATGGTACGATATCAGACGATACACGTCAGATGTATGGAATCAAAGTTTCATTGATATGAGACAAGAAATTGTAAAAAAATTGTTCAATACAATAATTTGTGTCATTCACTTAAATGTGAAATGAACTCTGAATTTCTGTTTTCATGCACGACAAGATATTTTATGACTATTCATTTAAGTAAATCGAAATCTTGAGTTGGGAAGGTTTGGTTTGGTTTCATTGACGTACCACATGTTTTTGTACAAAAGGCAATATGCAATAAATTTTATCTTATTCTGTCAAAGACAAGCCAAGACACAATCGAATTGTTAAGCACCATGCATTTAAGAAATTTGAATTAGTGTGTGTGTATTGAAAGGGGTGGGCGGTGTGTGAGCCACATTTCTACCAAACAAGACAAATGACTTCCTTTGGCTTACAAAGTTTGGTTAATTATTAAGCCTTCCCCTCACGTGCACATCTGTCCCATTACTAAAATTAGGAATACGTAACATATACTCACACCACGTGATCCATAGATTTCTCCTGTAGACCTAGAGTGTTTATCTGTTCAATATTACCAATACGGAATTCAAAATTAGGTTTATCGTAACCCCATTTCTTAAAGTGATATTCAGATTGCTCTATGGCTTTGGAAACCTGAAGAGAAATAAGTGAAAACGTTAAAATATTAGAGGCATCAAAGGAGATTTCTAGGTTATGCGTGTTTGCAATCAAGCATAATAATATATTTGCAGTAGTTTGGTATTTCATGAGATGACAGAAACCATGGATGCCAGATACAAAGGCTTGAAAATATATTTTACTTAACAATAGTACGAGTGAATAAGTACTTGTCAATTAAATTACATATAGCCGAGTTCAATCATGACGCGGCTACTAAAATTCAGAAATATAATATGTAGGACAGTATGTTATAGGCCCGTCAAAGCGGACTGCGACCATTTGCGATCTAACGACGACAAGAAACGTACTATGAAAAAAAGTTATAAACTTAAAAACATTTGCATTTTTGCAGCGTCTTTGCCACGTGTGACCAGCACTTTTATGCTTCTCAAGAAGTTGTTATCAACGCTTGTCTGATAACCTTCTCTATCCCATAGAGTTCTCAAAGCGTTCCAGAACAGATCGCCGAACCTTGGCGAATAAAGAAAGGTGGCGACACTGGCGACAATTGCCCGATGTCTGGCGTGTCCTATACTCTACACCACGCTATTAAGAGTGACCAAGGCTCTGTTCCACGTATACTCTTTGGAGATGCAAGAGAATATAATAATACATAATATGTTTCTTGAAACCGGAAGATATTTGATCTATAAGAGTGCACTACCATTAGCGTTCAATCTGATGCTGAATGCTACATAGAGGAATTTTCACGGCGGACCGTTTTTTAAGGGTTTCAACAGACTCGGCTGGAGACATCTATTATGAACCTGTTATTTGTCCTTTGTTATTTTGATGTCAAACAATTAAGACGCTGACAGAGCGTGGAAAGAAAATTATAATAAACTCTCATTTCCTGAAGGAAATACGTTTTTAATCTGTTGAATTAATAGAATCTACCTCAACTCACATCCGGCTTTCCAAGAACTCAAGAGGTAAAATAGTATTCGATATGTCTACCCTACATCTTTGTTTAAAGGGATCAGGTCGTCTCAATATTTGATTTATCATAAGGCAAGAGTTAAATTTCATCTATTCGTATTACTTTTCAAATCCGACATCAAACAAATCAATGAAAATCATACTGTGACACAAATCTCGGATTTACTTAGGGATTGTAAAGCGGTTTTCTAAAAAAATATGTGGATCAGACACAGATAGCAGCAATTTGCACCATTTTTCAATCAGACGTCCGTGGTTCTTGCAATTCCACTAAAAAAATGATGTTTTTGATGACGTCACTAATCGCGACAGGCCTTATGTGAAAAAGCATATTTTCCAAGTGACGTTATCAAACACTTATTTTGCTATATTTGACGTTATCAAACACCTGGAATTTCAGGAACGACAGACGTCTGATTCAAAATTGGAATGATGCAACTGATGCTAGGAATGTCAAATTTCTGATTTAGTGCTACGATAACTGCCTTTAGCTCTATCAGTTGCTCAAGTCTATCTTGTAAACGACCACATTAAGTATATTCGTTTCGTTGAGTTCTGACCGGTCATGATTAGATCTGATTAGTATAGAATTACCTCTGTAGGTTCCAACAATAGCAAATTAAATATGTTTGCAACATTTGATAAGAAAACCTTCGGAAATTCCGAGTCTTTGAAAAGTATTTGAGAGTAATTGTTCGGACATTGACATTCTGAATCATTTGTCTCGCGGGAATAAATTAATAAATACCATTTGAGTCAAGATAGTAGATAGTAGATTTGAAGCATGGCAGAAAGGTCACTCAGTTGTACTATTATAGTGTCCATTTCTCGCTGATTGAAAAATAGCATTAGAATTTAACAATGAGTTGGAATTTGACGATATTTCGATAAAGAGTATTTGATTTCGGGGAAGGGAGGGTTTGATTCTCCCAAATGTACAGGCCTAGGGTGGAGCAGACACTTTATTTAGAAATTAGGATTAAGGGTCTTGATATTGGGTTTTCTTCTGTTCTTATTCTGATCTGAAATTAGAAAAAATAACTCGCCCGATGGGCGAGAAGTATAGTATCTGTTATGTACTGATTGTTTTTAGTTTACTATGAACAATATTATCATTTAAGTTCTTATTTTTTGAATATGCAACTATCATTTTCTGCTTATAGACATGGGGGAATTTCTCTTGAAGGCTCTTATAGTGGGCATGAACTATCTTGCTTGCTCGATTGCTGGTTGTATTAAACGGGACAACAAAGGGTGCTATGCCTACATTATGATGAATATTTAGTCCTATAGGTCTTGCTGTATTCAATGTCTCAATCCAATGGGCCTCCCTAGATTGACGGAATTTGGTAGTTTCATCTTCTGGCAAGTCAATTTCTATACGCTCAACTGGGATTAGGGTGAGATCGTCTATTGAATGGTCGTCGAGGTTGAAATGATTAGAAACAGGCTTGTCTTTCTTTAATTTGATGTCTGACCTATGAGCATTAAAGCGAGTTCGTAAATTATTCTTAGTTTCTCCTACATATTGTTTGGGGCATTTCTTGCATGAAATTAAATATATTACATTCGAATGTTCACATGTTAGATGTTCCTGGATCGGGTACCTTTTATTCGTAGAGTTGCTTACAAAATAATGAGTTTCTGATATAAAGGGACATGTTTTGCATCTCCTGGACAAACATGGAGCACTTCTTAAACCTTGAGGTACTTCGGCATAAAGTCTGTTTTTAGCTGCTATCTGTGCTAAGGTGGACTTTTTTATGTTTCGTAAAAATCGTTTAGAGTACCCACGCTCTTTCAGTTTTGAGAAAACAATCGTACAGTCTTGGTTGAAATCAGAAGATCTTGTACAAATTCGATGAAATCGTAAAACCTGTGACTTAATTATACCAGAAAATATTTCGATAAAGAGTATTTGAGTTATTCGTCTTGCTTTGGTAAATTGCAATAGCCATGAAGTTAAAACGTAACGTCTTGCTGCCTAGGCGTATGCTCTCGAGCTCATACCTTATGGTAGATATAAGCTCTGGTCGACAAAAAGAGTGCGAAAGACACTTAAAGCTATATGAAGTATAAAAACGTATAATTACCTGGTTTGGTGTGATATCAAATCCTATGACATATCCGCTAGGACCAACTAGTTTACTGAGTACAAAAACCAAACTACCAGATCCACTGCCCAAATCAACTATCTTAAATCCTTCCACTTTCTCGGGAACCAAAAATCCAGATCCATAATACCTGATATATATGAAATATATAAGTATAAGTATTCCATTACATGTATATAGGTTGTAGTTACATTCCTTTGCTGCCTCAGAGAGTTGCTGTTGCATGCTGCCAACTACAGGTACACATCTCCACTTTCAATGATCACCTAAAAAGCAAGCTGAAGACTACGTACATTCTTATCTCGGCCGGCTTGTGGCCGTTTGGGGACTTGAATAAGTCATGTTTCCCTATTATTCTTGAGTCGGCACAAGCTGTAAATGGGTGCAGGTAACTCGGGGCAGATCAGAACCAAGACCATGGGTAGGACAGTACTGAATATTTCTTCAGACCTTTGTAATATCTTCAAATTAAAATTGTTGAATGGTCAGCTTGAGACACCTTAATGACATTATAAGCATTCAAAAACGCTGGAATCGTCCCCTTTAACTGATGCGAAGTGAATCATATTCATGATGATATAGATAGGGATGGAGTTGTCATTAATATTCTGACCATCTACTGGTTTTCTAATTCAACTTTTGCAACTGTTAGAATCATCTGAAGAGCGTTTAAATGATCTCCTTCATGATCAACAATAGCTATAGGTCTCGCATTGACTCCGACGACCTTTAATCTATGGCTTGTGGATAGCGGTCTGGATAAGTCGCATTTCTACCTGTGGTAACACTTGAAACTATTCAAGTTTCGTTTTGTTCTACTCACCTCTTCATAGTTTCAGGACTAAGTTGTTCAATAATACCACGATGGAGGTCATTCATCTGATGGTCGTTGACCTCACAAACAAAATCAAGGTTTTTAACAACTTCATTGTAAAAACCTTTAATTACTTCCGTCAATTTGTGCTCCGACATATTAGAGAACTTTCTAAATGAAAATGTATTAATTGAAACAATAACAACACTTATACAAGACAATGAAGTAAACAGGAAACGAAATGGAAGATTATGTACTACCTTTCTGCACTCTGCTGAACAAAGACGGGTTATCGAGCAAGCCCTTAATGCAAGGTTCTTCATGTGGGTCAGATTGTCTAGAACTTGGGATTCTTTTATAGGATCTGTCGCAATCGACGTGAACGAATCACTCTCGTCAGACAATGGACTGACAACCAACAATCAACTGGGTGTTTGAAGATACCGACTGCCCAGATCGAATATCAAATTCGATTTTTATACGACGTCATTCGCAAACGCGGTAGACGGTAAGCCAAGCCATTTTTGATTTTATTGGGGAGAAACCTTTTCAGGCCTTCCATGCCAGGCTTGTGCAAATGCACTTCTGCACTTTACACATTTTAATGTTTTAAATTTCATATAAGTGCAGAGAGGCTGACCTGATTATAATGTAGTTAACAGAAACCTAAACAATTTCGAGAAAATTATGTGGGTCGTGCATAATTAGTTCATATCCTAGAACATCATTTTATTCGTTTATAATAAATACTAGGAATTCATATTTTTTTTCCTATTTCTTAGCTTCGATATGTCATTTAATCCCAAAATAAGGTACCTCTTTACAATCCCTTAAAATTTCAATCTTCAAGAGTTTATTTATTTAATTTACAGCATGACCAGTATGGTCACTAAAAAAAAATTGGAAAAATATCATACCCAATGGAAACTTTTACTTTATCTGAGTTCAATTTTTTTTTAATCATCAATACTTAAATCAGCTGATTACCAACAATCGTGAAATATTGATTTTATTTAAGAACTATATATCAAGTTCAAGTGTTTAGTACGTAGCATTCATCGGGCGCAGCATTCATCGGGCGCACTTTTTCCGATAAGGCCTGTACAAGCCCCTTCATACCGAACTGCGACCATCTGCGCAGTCACAATAGAAAGATTAAGTAAATTCATTGTCTAGAAATGCATTGCGACACCTAAAGTTACTTTATGTTCAACACGCAATTGGTACAAACCGTGCAATCACCAATTGTAAAAACCGACAAAGAAAACAATACTTACCAATTGTCAGTGACTTAATAGCCCAAAATCCTAAACACGCTCCTGTCTTGCTTTGTGTTGTAGGTTAAGTACATAAATAACTTTAAAAATTCTATTTAGAAACCTAATTTTAAAACATCTGAGATATATGAAAAATATCGCAGCTTGATAGAAATATTAAAGATCCCCTCTTTTAGTTTTTTCTTGGGCAAATCTTCTGAGTCTTTCTTGCTATCTTGAAGATCCGGTATTTGAGGTCGGACAAAAGAACTTCAACCAAGTTGGCCGTCAGTGATGTAGGTCAGAGGGGAACATGTCCATAAGGTGATGCTAATGCCAGTGTCAGGCCCGTCGCTCAGAAAGAAAGCCCCCCCCCCCCCCCCTTTGTAAAAAAAGGAAGTCTGACGGCCGACCTTTTTCCATCACTGCACCAAACACCACACCCCATTGCCCCGCATATATTACCATTCATTTTGTTGGTAGGCGGTATTTCTTAAACTTCTTTAAGAGAATGTTCTGTAAGGCGACGAAAGAGTGTTAAGATATTCTTTTTATCAGAACAGATATAAATAATTGGAACAGCTGTATACGATTACTGACCTAGTAAATTTAAACATTTTGTTTGAATGTGTGTGTGTGTTTTTGTTTTATATATATATATATATATATACCGGATGGGCCAGAAAAAACAAGGAGAAACTGAAGGACAGAATTAGAGAGAAATTTGAACAGAATACCACTTGTACAAAGCGGGCAGGCAATATCTTATCACGGAAGAAAGGAATTTAGACGATTTATGCCGAAAATGGTTGCTATATTGAGTATTAATTCAATTAAAGATGTGAAATTAAAAGTAATTATTTTCGGCATTATATTTTTTGACAAGGAATTTATAAAAGGCTGTAATTTGGTAAAAATAGGAGGTCAAAATATTATGATCAGGGCTTTGATACTTTTTGAAAAGTCCTGAAATGAAAAGTATTATTGTTTTTTTTTGGGCCACCCGATATAAGGTTGAAATGACATACCCCATTTCTTCAGCAAGATAATCTAAACCCACCAATTTTATCAGAGTGAGTTAGACAAACTTCAGAAACTGCAATGATAATTTTGATAATAAACAGATTACGAGTCAGAAGACAAACTCAATGGCTAACGCTATTCGTGTTATTTTATGTCATCACTTGTATTGGAACTGAATTAACAAGCCATGTGCCACGAATAAAGACTAGAATCTCTATATAAAACTCTATATATCCATTAAATTAAGTAACAATTGAAAAACGCCTCTAAGCGTGTTTCAAAATGAGTTATTTTTAGTATTACTATTACTTAGTTTTATGGATTTATTGGATTATAGGTGGATAGAGCTCGAAATATCTCTTCAGCCTTTCATGCTACATGAACATATAGTTTACACACCTGTTTTTTATTTCTAGAATATCCAAGCTATTGATAATGATAATGATATTTTTTTTTTTAAATTGGCACTTCAATGGATTGAAAGCATATCTTTTTTTATTTAAAGATAACATAACTACATTACGTTTTAAGTATAGTAATTTAAGTGCATTAGACACATCTTTTCCATTTATAATCCGCAGCTGCGATTTCTTAAGGGCAAGATTCATTAAAAGGTTTCATTATATTAAATTTTATTTACCATTGTAAATAAAAGTGCACTCAATGTAAAATAATCAGAGTTTCGCATTTTGCACCCTATTGAGATATCCGAAGATGGGCGGGTAAAAACTTTGTGTGTGTATTGCAAAGAACGCAAAGGTTTTCACGGAAAGCCAAATTGAAATTAATTTAGTTTTAGTCTATAGAGACTATGGGGACGATTTAGATGTTTAGATGATCTTTGTTTTAATTCCGACTTTCGAAAATTCTTTAACGTGCATCGCCCACCATCTTCACAATGTCAAGCTTTGTACTATTCGTACACACTATTCTGGTATTACAGAATACAGCGTTTTGATTGGATTGTCGCCAGCGAATAAAGCCAATCAGAGCACTCAACATACAGACCGTAAACATTATGGCTGTATTCGCTAGCGAACAATCCAATCAAATCGCTTCATTTACAAACTTCCATGAAACAAGAAGGTATCCCATTCTAACGACTAGATGCTTTTTCATCTCCCATATAAATTACATTTACAACGAAAAGGAATATTTCATTCATGGAAAGCGGACTTTTTTTTATTCTGTTTAACCTTAATAAAGATGGATTTTCGCATTTTAAAGAGTAAAATAAAGCAAACCAGAATTAAGAGTTCATGAATATCGTGAATTGACCTTTATTGATTGGTCACTCTTTGAAAAATTCGTCCGCATTCCTGTAATTAGCTAATTATGAGTTAATTAGGGGCTGTTATTTTGTCCAATCATTAGTACACCTCTTTATTCGATTGATATAAGTATTAGCCGTCCAATAATCGAATATATTTGAAAAAATGAAAATAAGGGAAGGCATCTTTAATGAGCATATATCCATATTGAAATTAACAATTTTTTGATTTCAGGATAAAAGTTATTAAAGGCCATTCACTGCATGGAGTACCATTTAAATAATTACCATTCACGTTGGCCTTGGGTGTTTCCAGTAATACAGTAAAATAAGTGACTACCAACAACAAACTAGTCTGCGATATCAGCTTTAGCTGGAAGCTGACGTTAATTTTTCCTCCACTAACCACCTCATTATATTTCACAGATTATACTTTTAAATACGAGTACTTATATAATATTTTTAATGAAGAGTTGGGAAAAAAGCTAATGGCGGCAAAAAGGAAATCAAACTGTTTTTGAAAAATTTATAACCAAAACATACATTAATGGTATATAATAACCAAACCCATATTGCTAAACTCTGGAATTCCGTCACCATTCCTGTTTTTATAAAGCTTAAATGTTAAAATTTAACTATAGTAGGGGGGCCAAGTAGTATGGCTAATTTACAACATACATGATTGTGCAGTATAACAGAACCTGGGTGAATCCTCTATCTATATTCACATATGTCATACATGTTCACTCTTTTGCTCGTTTCCCACGCGAATGATAACCCTGTGTTATCGAGTTTGATAAGGTGTTATTTTGAAACACTGAGCATAGACTGATGAACACTTGAGGAACGACCATCTTGACGAGTTGAAACACTGTTCCAATGATTATTTTCGGTTATTTTCCTTCCATAGCAATTGAACCATTTCCCAAGGATTCTGAAACAGTTTGATGAACATCAGACACTGAAGTATGTGCTTGACTGGAGCCAGAAGACTTATACATCTTACCCCGAACACAAATTATTCGTTTTAGTTCTCTTCGGAATCTTTGTCCACTGAGTAGGTACAGAATGAAGTTTATAGCATGGTTGGTGTACATCAGATTGTCTGCAAAACCATGCGCCAGCCAGTTGAGAGCTCTATCATATGGTGTAACTGGAATCCATGCATACCTTTGTACCAACAGTAGTATTGAGATAGGTCCGGTCAGTAGCAAAAAAGCGACGGACACCAATACCAGCATTACAGTCACCTGCAATGAAAGAGTTCGGTAAAGAACTGTGCTTGTGTATTTTGAGACCTTTTCGTATGTACCCGAAGTAAAACATATGACAGAAAATTGAATTCATCTAAAACAAAGAGCATGGAGAGCGATATTCACATCTTTATTCCGGTAGATCTTATTTTCAAGATGATACTTATAGAACTATCTGATGATGAAACTATTGATGTTCCACATATTTTCGAGATGACACATTTGAAACAATCTGACAGTGAAACAATTTTGACTTAAGTATGGTATTTTGTCAATGAAAAGTCTTATCGTAAGATTTTTTTGTGGAACGGGGCCCTGACTCAGAGTCTAATAAGGGCTGAGTTATAATGAAACTG